TCAGGAGAGATGGAATTTTAACCAAGTAACTGATGACTGGTCAGACATACAGCTTACACATCTGCGGGATCACTTTAAATGTTACCATTCATTATTTCAAGGGAACTCCCCCGATGGAGCCATGAGATTCGTTCTTAATTATTTAAACTAGTACAATACTGTTAAAATAAACTTTGAAAAATTACAGAGGAAATCCCCCATTTTTGGAGAAGTTCTTAAAAGTTCACTACTATCATTTTTAAAAATCAGTTGCAAGATTTAATCAGTATTAAACCACAACATGTATCCTCCACTTTACCATCAAGCCAGGAGGTCAAGCCTGGTTCAACAGAGAGTGCAAGAGGGCACGCCAGGAGCAGCACCAAGCACACCTATAAATGATGTGTCTACCTATTGAAGTTACAAAGCAGGACTATTTGCATGCCAAACAGCATAGGCAGCAAGTGATAGACAGAGGTAACAGCACACAACTAATGGATCAAATCTAAGTTTTGCAGTGCTGCCACATCCAGTTGTAACAACTCACTGGAAGAGGAGGCTCCATAAATATCCCCATCCACAATAATGGGAGAACCCAGCATATCAGTGTAAAAGATAAAGCTTAAAGCATTCATAATAATCTTCAGCCAGAAGTGCCAAGTCAGCTTGTTCTCAGGTCCCCAGCATCCCAGATACCAATCATTGGCTAATTTGTTTCACTCCACATGACTTCATGAATCGGTTGGAGACACTGGATGCTCCAAACAACATTTCAGCAAAAGTACCGAACGTTTGTGCTCCGTTATAGCTGTGCCCCTAGCCAAGTTATTCCAATACATTTACAACACTGGCATCTACCCAGCAATGTGGAAAATGTGCGGTACCCAAAAAGCAGGGACAAATCCAACCCGGCTAATCATCACCTATCAGTCTACTTTTGATCATCAGTAAAGTGACGGAAGGTGCCAACAACAGTGCTACCAAGCAGCACCTGCTCAGTGAAGCCCAGTTTGGGTTCTACCATGGTCACTCAGTTCCTGACCTCATTACAGCCCGGGTTCAAACATGACCGAAAGAGCAGAACTTGAGAGGGAAAAGAATGTGATTACTGTGGACATGAAGACAGCATTTGACCAAGTGTGGCATCAAAGATCCTGAGCAAAACTGGAGTCAATGAGGATAGGGAAAACCTCCCAGCTGGCTGCAATCATACCTAACACACAGGAAGATTCTCATGGCAGTTAGAGGTCTATCACATCAGCCACTGCACTGGAGAAATGTCCTAGGCACAAATAGGCCTAACTTCAGCTGCTTTATCAATGATCTTCTGTCCATCATAAGATTAAAAATTGGGGCTGTTTGCCAATGATTGGACAATTTAAAGTTCCATTTGCAACACCTCAGATACTAAAACAGCCTGTCTCCAAAAGAATCAAGTCCGGGACAATATTCAGACTTGAGCTAACTAGTGGTAAGTATTATTCACACCATGTGATTATTGGGCAAAAGAATTCTCCAACAAGAATGGCATTGCCATTACTGAATTCCATCACCATTAACATCTGGGAGATTACTGATGACCAGAAACTGGACTTAACCAGCCATATAAACACTGTGGCAACAAGAGCATGTCTGAGGCTAGGAGTCCTGCCATGTGTAACTCAAACCCTGACCCCTCAACACCTGTCCACCATCTACAAAGTACAAGTCAGACATGTAATGGAATATTGTCCTCGTGACTGGATGAGTGCAGCTCCAATATCACTCAAGAAGGTTGATACCACCCAGGAAAAAGCAGCCTGTTTGATTGGCATCCAAACACTTTCAACTTCATTCCCTCCAGCATCTACACAAACTGGTAGCACTGTGTACCATGCTCCATTTCCTTTGCTGCTAACTCAATAGTTCCTAATTTATGATGGACTTCTTTGTTACTGGTAGAGATCAATGTGAGCTTTATTTATTTTATTATTCAATGGCAGCGAAGAGGACTCACCAAAATAAAAAAAAACTTCTGAAAAATCAAAGAGATTTTTAGTTTTAAGGAACTGCTAATTGTAGAAAAGGGCTTCTCACAATCCAGCTGATGCAACAGTAACTTCAGGGAAATTTCATCAATCAACTTAATTTAGTTTGCAAGGTGGACTCCCTGCTCTAGTATCACCTCTGACTGGAAGCTCACTCTGCATAGACAGTATGATTCATTGGGTCAGGTTTTGGGTTTGAGAGGAGGGTGGTAGGAATGTCATATGCTGTAATAAGGTTTAAAAACCTGCACCACCTTCAGGGCCAGAGAGAAATACTTTTGTGAATGATAAATGGAAATCATAGAAACTTCGAAAGTAGGAGCAGCGTAGGCCATTTGGTCTTTCAAGCATCCTTCGCCATTCTGATCATCCAACTCAGTAGCCTGTTCCCGCTTTCTCCCCCCATCCTTTAATTTCTTTAGCCCAAGTGCTCTATCCAACTCTTTTGGGAACCTGCTTTCTGCATCTATCCTCTCTAATCCTGTTAGAATTTTATAGGTTTCTATGAAATTAATCCGTCATTGTTCTAAACTCTAGCAAATATAATCTTAACTGATTTATCAGCCTTCAATCCCAAATTTCCCCACAGAATTTCTGTATTCATACCTCATTTCCTTGAGTTCCATCCTCTCACTAAACCCTGTGTTCCCCAACATTTCTGGTATTTTGTTTGTGTTCTCCTTTGTGAGCACAGAACCAAAGTATGTATTTAGTTGGTCAGCTATAAATTCCTGCTTCTGACAGTAAAGACCTACATTTGTCTTCAGTCTTTTTCTCTTCACATACTAATAAAAACTTTTACAATCAATCTTTATGTTCCCACAAGCTTGCACTTGCATGCTATTTTTCTTTTCTTAATCAATCAATCTCTTTGTCATCCTTTGCTGAGTACTAAAAACTGTTCCCATTCCTCAGGTCTATCATTTTTCTGGCCAATTTGTATGCCTGCTCATTGGATCCGATACTATCTCTAATCACCCTTGTTGGTCATGGCTTGGCCACCTTTCCTGTTTTACTTCTACACCAGAGAGGAATGAACAATTGTTCCAGTTCACCCAGGCACTTTGAATGTTTGCCATTGCCTTTCCACCATCATCCCTTTAAGCAATGTTCCTCAATCTGAAATAGTCAACTTATGCCTCATACCATATATTCCTCTATTTAGATTCAGGACCATGGTCTCAGAATTAACTATGTTACTCTCCAGGTTGATGTGGAATTCTATCATGTTATGGTCACTCATTCCAAGGGGCATTGTACAACTCGACCGTCAATTATTACTTTCTCTATACTCGATAGCCTGTTCTCTCATTAGTTCCTCAAAAATGTTGCTCCAGGAATTCCGTCTTTACGGTATTGTTACTGATTTGATTTGCCCAATCTATATGCAGATTAAAGTAATCTATAATTGCAGATGTTCCTTTGTTGCATGCATCTCTACTTTCCTCTTTAATGCCATTCTTAACATCACCCTACAGTTTGGCGGTTTTTTCACAACTTACATTTTTTTTTGCCCCTTGGGGTTTCTCAGCTCTACTCATAGATTCCACATCATCGGAGCTAATACCTTGCCTAACTTCCACTTTAATCATCAATTCAACTACACTGCCTTTTCCTTTTTGTCTGTCCTTCCTAAATACTGAATTTCCCTGGATGTTCAGTTCCCATCTCTCGCCACCCTGCAGTCATGTCTCTAATTCTCTGCATGTATCGTACCTGTTTTCATCTATTTGCATAATTAATTCATCCACTCTACTAAGAGCACTCTGTGCATTAGGCACAAAGCCTTAAGGCTTATCTTGATAACATTACTTGTCCTGTTCCCATTGTTTTCATTGCACTTCAGATTGATTTTGGCCCTTGATTTCTCTGCTCCCTTGGCTCCTACTGTTTCTCTGGCTACCCTTTTCCCTTTGATATACTTATGGCATATCTTGAGATTTTCCCTAATCTTACCCTCCAGCGTTTCTTTCATGCCCCATTTTTGCTTTCCTAATTGCTTTCTTAAGTTACCCCTGGCACTTTCTATACTCCCCTACAGTAGATTTGGAGTGTTTTTCATTTGGTCAGTACAGACTTGACGGTTCAAAGAGCCTCTTCTGTACTGTGCAATTCTAAGTTCTCAGTTACTATGGATAGAGCCAAGGGCCACCTCAATCACTGCACTGATAGAGCAACTCAGCACTGCAATAACTTTCATGACCTTATCAGATCAGGAAAGGTAAGAGTAGTCAGCTACACACAATATACTGTATTAAACATCTGACATTAATATGCACAAGGCACTGCAAGGCCTCAACAACCTCAGACTTTACCTGCCAGTGATCCTACTGAAAGCCTCACATCATACATAATTCCTTGTTTCAGATACTTTCTTTCATTTGCCACTGTAGTCTGCCTATTGACATCTGGGCTTGACTGCATCTCATGATAAGCAGAGACCATTCTCACTCTTTCCATTAAGAACACAATACATTAAGAACAGCACAGGAGAGGCTGGCCCAGCAGACAGACCCATAATCTCCAAACCCTCACTTCTACGAGCAAGAAATTAAATTCCCTCAAGGCAGGTCGAACGGGTATGCAATGACAGCAAGTTGCAAGGATTCATTATGAATGATCCAACAGTATGGCAATGAGGGAAAACATGTTATAATCAGAAAGAATGGCTGCAAATGAGACATATTTGCAACCCTATGTTATGGTTCCTTCTTTGGACTTTAAGGATGCAACCTCTGCCCACCCTTGAGAGAGAATTTCAAAACCAATCTATCCCAGCAACCTTCACTGGATCTGTAAACACTGTTCCTTAGATGCCCCCCAATATCACAGGCACCTTCCGTTGGTTGGTTACTGAGGGACTCACCCCATTATCGTGTCCCACAGAAAGTCTCCTGGGATTAACAGCAGAGAATCCCAGTGGATACATCCCAGCAATTATACACTGTATAGTGTTTGGATCCAAGACGTACAAATGAATCAAAAAAAAATAAATTACAGTGATTCAAAACAGTTTATTAAATAAAAATTCAAACTAAAAACAGGAATGGCAATTTATTCTAATTCTGCACATGCCCAATTCCTTTGGTGCATCCATCTCTTTCCCTCTTGCCGTACCCCATAGAGTTTCTGAAGTTAGGCACAGGGGCATGTTTGCCATGAATCACAGACGTAACATCTATAATTACTACTAAAAAAGAATCAGCAGCAACATTCCACTTTTAAACACTGGAGCCCACATAGCAGATTACAAAAAAAAAGTGAGATGGCAGTGTAAACATTCCAAAATTGTCAAGGTCTTTTACTGGATCTGTAACAGTGTAGAAATGTATGACTATTCTCAACAGAGAAGTACACTAAAGTTAAACGCAATACTGCAGATCCAACAGCGGGAGAGAGGCATATACCAGCCATCTTGAATTTCACAGGAGCATTATCAATCAATACAAATTGGACCCAAATTTAATTTTCTTTTTAGACCAGTGGGTATCATCGAGTTACATTTTAAATCTGACACTAATGCTGGTCGCTTATTTGCTGATAGACAATAGACGGTGACAGTCTTTGACTAATTTATGGCGTATGGCTAGTGATAAAGAAATCCAGCTGAGACCCACTGTGACCTGTTGTGATTCAAAGAAACTCACTGAATGGATAACAAAAAAAAATCACAGCTTTGTGGCAATCCGTTTAATGCACACCATTTCCTGGTGCCATATAGCTTGGCTCACTATTATGCAATTTTACAACTGAGGAATCAGAATCATACTAAGAAGGCACATGAACGTGTAAAGCACAATTAATTATGCTGGTGTTCAAATACACTGGAATCTCAACATTGGAATGATGTTCAATACCTACACTGTCTTTGCTTTAAAGGAGTTCCTTCAGGTAATGATAGCAAGAACTTTTATCGCCTTTAGGCTATCAATCCAATTCTAATGTCATGTATTTCCTCCAAAATAGTCTTCATTGAAAAATATATGCAGCTGGGATATGTACCAGTTCAATTTATCTAATTAAAGGGCATATGTTGACATCATTCTTCTTCTATTTGATTTATGAATAATCCAAAGAGAGTATCCAAATGATCAGTAGACAAAGAAAAGTCACATGTCCTTTCAGCCTTTAACTCTGGAGTTCCTTAGTGAAGGACGAAAAAGAATGAAAGGAGAACAGCAAGCAATCCATTTAACCTGGTAGAAACCAGTTCTGTCTAAAGCAAGTTCCCCTACCAAATATGGCGTTAATTGTTTCCAAAATTACAAGTAATTTGGCTTAAATACAGAAAAAAAAAGTAATGTATTGCAATTCTGATTTTCAATAAAAGTCAGCTTGTGGTTACAGTGTTGCTTAATTGGATTTCCAAGTCTATTGAGCAGACGTTCAGCATTTTCACACTCGTCACATTTCACTGGTTGTCAGAAGGTCACATTCAATAACTCAAACAATTGTCAAGCACTATTCAATGGCATCAATATACCTATATACTGCATTGTTAAATGAAATGCCTATTGAATGGCAAATCCATGTTAAAAAATATTGTCACCTTTGGTGTTTTGCTTTTGGTACTAGAATTTCATCAGATGTAAATACTAATGCCAGCTTTGTCAGCAGCATGATGAAAGTCATCAACAACTATAACTGCCACACAACCATGGTTAACATTTTCCCCTTTCTTGGGCACTTTCTATTCATAATGGTAACATACTGGCACTGACAAAAGATGGACAAGAAGCTACTTTCCATAACATCAAATATTACTAATTATGCAAGTATTATAAAAATGCCACTTAATTTGGATTGCAATTTCTACTTGTCCATATTTTTTTTTTAAATTTGTACTGACATCTGTAACTTTCTGGAAGTGCTTTGAATTTATTTTTGAATCTGGTATTAATATTGTTCACAAAATGAATTTAATATTTATTTTTAACCAAAAATATAAAAATCATCTAATCAGCATTTTTAAGGTGTCTCACTTTTCCTAATTCTCTTTGCCTTCCTGACAACTTTATTAGTGAGCCAAAGATGTACGATTCAATGATTCACTACTAATACTATTATAGCTAGAACCAGAATGACTTGTAATTGTTGAGTGGAGACGTGTTCAAAGGTATAGGGGAACAGCATAAATGCCAACAGCTTTTTTTGTTTGAATGATTCATGTAATTTATTCTTCCTTTTTTTTCCCCCCCTGTTCAACTGCACCACTTCAATACTGGAATGACAGGAGAGAGAGAGATGAAAAACCAAAGCAACGTGATCCTAACAATTCTTTTTGGCTAGATTCTTTAAAAAAAAATAAAAACACAGTGCAACTTTTGCCTGTGTGATGCACAGATTTAAAGTAAAGTCAGCAGGTGTAACTTGGGAGTTACAACTGTCAATGCACAGATGCCCATTGACCATTTATACCCCAGACTCATGGGGGTAGCACAGCAGTACAGAAAATCAATAAATTGCAGTGTTTATTAAAAATAATACTGAAATAGAACTGTTGGGGACATTAATATACACTAATATGCTTAATGGCCCCAGAAACAAGTTCACATAATACCCTATTAGCACCAACTCGAAGACCCCGTCTCTCCCTCTTCTATCCTCCTTTTAATATTTTGACAAAGCAATATTTACCAAAGAGAAGTCTGATCTCTCCTTGCTTCTCGGTTTTCTTTTGTCACTGCTCAGTGATGCGATTGCTCCAGATTAACTGAGCTGCAGTAGGTTAGGCCAATGTGTTTTTTATTTGCCCAAATGGTTTATATCAGATGGAATCAATCTAAAGACATTACCAAAGTATAGAAATGCTTTTGTAAGAAACGTAAAAATGAAATCCTGCTTTTCCTACAAACAAGAACACTACTTACAGAAGTGAATTATGGAAAGTAAAGCAAAATGCCCAATTAATGGCCAAAAGAAGTTCGGAATAGTTTGTTATCACCTGAAATGGAGTGACCATCCAAGAAGTAATGTTGTAGGTCAAAATGTTTCGACATTAGCAATTTGCTGCAAGTATATGTTTCACTCTAAACTGTATCTGTATACAAGATACTATGGCAAACACTTCAAACACTGTATCCAAATCTATTGGTTAAGACTTGGTCTATATATTAAAAAAAAACAGGGTGCAACCATTAGGTATTAATAAATTCCCACAATTCTTGGAGAAAGGAATCTCTTGTTGATCGGTCTTTAACAGTGATGATCCAGTGATTCATATTGTCACTACACTGCTGGATACTGTTGTGCCTTAGAATAGACCCAAATAAGGATCGTACTGTTGTGAAGGAACCAGAAAATTCCATTTGCTTAATTAATTCATTTTTTAAAAACAATCTGTTTTCTCTTATGTAAAGTGCATCAGATTTTACAATCATTTTCTTGTGCTTTCAGACTGTGTTCTGTTGTCAGCATGTTCAGTGCTGGGAACCTGCTTTTGAAATTCTTCAACTGCAGCCAAGAGTGCAGCTCTTTCCAGCTCTAAGGTACAAATGACTTGCTTCAACCTTCCTTCATTGGATAGCAAGGCTTTTACAGTAGCTTCCAGGCTCTCAATTTTTGTATGAGCGACCTTTCATGAAGAAAAGACAGACATATTTATACACTAGCTTTCACAATCTCTGAGCAGTCAAGAAAGTATTTTACAGATAAGGAATAATTTTTCAATGGATAAGCAATCCTGTAACAAAGGGAAATGCGACCCCCAGTTTGTACACATGATCCAACAAACAACAACGAGGTAGTCCCCTGACAGATTATTGCAGTTCAGGCAAGGAAAAGCTCTTTGCTGTTCTTTGAAATGAGGTTTTGGATGTTTTACAGGCACAGAAGAGGGAAGTCTCAGTTTAAATCTCACCAAAATATCAGCCTGTTTTCAGGTTTCTTGTGTGGGACTTGACTGCAGGAACTGAAATATATTACTCTTAAATTTGTAACATGATGCAATCAGAATATGCTTGGTTGGTTCCTGAACTCTAGTTTTACTAAAAATAACATTCATGTGATACGGGTTTCACTTTCTTCTGTACAACTTGAATAACTTGCTAGGCCACTGCTGAGGGCAGTTAAGTGTCAACAACATTGGTGTGGGTTTAGAGTTGTATATAGGCCAGACTGGTTAGGGACAGCAGATGTGCTTCCCAAAAGGTCATTAGTGAAGCAGATGCCCTTTCATGTGAATCCAGCAGTTTTGTGGTCAGTAGATTGCTTTTCCAGATTTATTTACTTAGCTATATTTAAGTTCTTCTCTGCCGTGGTGGGATTTGAACTAATTTCTCGGGACCATTGGTCTATATTAGTCCAGGTAGCAAGATTAGAAAACCAGCTACCATACCCTGTCTTTGTTCCAAGTTCTTCAATATTAATACTCTTTTGGGATAATCTGTCAATTGTATTATTGAACACTTCTTTTGGCCCTAGATCCACGCTTTTTAATTCCTAGAGTAATTCAGTTTTCCCAGAGATGGCAAGGAGAAGATCTTTTGTTAAAAGCAACTCTTCAGCTAGTCATCAGGGTACAAAAGCAGTCTAATGAAATTTCTCAAACTTGCCTTGGATATATCTGCATCACCAGCTGTACTTATTTGCAAATTACACATTTAAAATTTGAGACTTGTCATGTGCATGAAGCTATAAATTAATTCCTTACTATAGTTGTCCTGGATGTGATTTTTGTATATTTTACTGCTGGACTGTCACATTATCAACAGTATTAGAGGTCAATAGTACAGCACTTGAATACCACTGAGAAGTGACATATTGCCAAAAGCTTCTATCTCACACTTATCAGGACCAATGGAAGAGTGCCAAATTTCAAACGATTGCAATAATTTATACTTCAGATGAAAAGGGTGCTGATTAGTTGTTAAGTTGACTCTGATTATCTGAGGTATTTCAAGGGAGAAAGTGATGGAGAACTATGTGCTCTACAAGTTCCCAATCACTCAATAAAATGCAATGCTTGAATGTATTCATTCTCTTTGCAGACAACAGGTCTCTATGAGTGAACGCATATCACTTCTAATAAGGTTAAATGAACTTTACGGATTATCTTAAAAATGGTTGCAAGTATACCAACTAGCACACTCGGGATTATTCAGTAAGTATTACCCAACTGTAGAACCATATCTGGAGCAGAGGTTTTACTTTGAGATTTGCAATCATGGGCTACCCGAGTATAGTCTGTACTTTGCCTATTACGGACAACCAAAGGAACATGTACCATGCTTCAAACAGCCATTCGTTGGGATAGAGGGCCTATGTACCTGGTATCACACTGGACAAGAAAGTTATACACGACAGTATCCAATTGTGAAATGTGCAGTGTGTCATTTTGGACTAATTGCAGTGTTCTGTTAATAGAAAATACTGCACATGTAGTTATTGCACAGTAAAACATGAAATGGCTTGCTTAACCAATTGTTCAAATATCTGAGATACTTTGCCTTTCTACTTTCAGTGTAGGTGTGATGCCAGGTGCATATGCTATATGCTGCATGTCCTAGGCATTGGCGATCAACTCCATTGGCATCCAACCAATTTAAGATGACCATTTAGTCTACTAACATGGCTCATACATGCTTGCTACAGGCAATATATATTCTCTTAAAAAGATCTGCTTTCTGAAACAAAAAAAAAGGAATGTTCAAGCTTTGTGCCTTTTTGGATAACTGGGAGTTTGGGGAAAATATAGTTCCTTTTGCTTTTTCCAGGGCAATGGTTCAGCCAGTCTGGGTAGACCTGTCAACTAATCACCATCCTTTTCTCCTTTCGTTTGAAATTTGGCCAAGACTTCAGCAACAATTCTCCACCTTCAGTAATGATATTAGAACTGAACATTTGCAAATATTTTGCTCAAAATTCACATGACTAACCTCAAGTTCCTCCAGTAAATCACTGTTTTGCTTGCGTAAGCTGTTGTTGTTTTTTTCCAATTTTTCTAATCGTTCGTTGTCACTCATGGCAGCTGAAGAATCTATTAGCTCATCCTGAAGAACATGGTATTCAACCTCATAGGCTTGCAGCTGTTTGGAAAGATCCATTTCAAACACCTAGACACATCAACATAGGTCATTTTTAGTACAGCAAATAAAACTCTTTTACAATTGCTTTTTCATTGAGCTATAAGATTAGTAAATTGTTTCATGAAAATCGAAAGAACTGTGGATGCTGTAAGTCAGAAACAAAAACTGAAACTGTTGGAAAAGCTCAGCAGGCCTAGTAGTATCTATGGAGAGAAATCAGAGTTAACGTTTTGGGTCTGGTAACCCTTCCTCATCGTGTTCTGCCAGGCCTGCTGAGCTCTTCCAGCAACTTCTGCTTTTGTAGTAAATTGTTTCCTTCCTTTTGTAGCTTTAACTTCTTCCTTACTCAAAAATGTAGCTGATTTAATTACTGGTAGTATATTCTTTATATGTAAACAATTTTAACAGACTGGGAAAAACTTAATGGCGGCCGCCCATTTAATAATGTTAATAAATAAAAATATCCCAACAACTTGAATATCACTGTGCAATCAGTTTAGCAGGCAACGGGAACTTAACATGAAAATTCATCCCTTATTTCCCTTTTTCCTATATTATTTATAAAAAACAAAGTTCAAAATGACATGCCCTAATTCCATGTTTAAAAGTCAATTTGCAAGATGAGAGATGTAACTTTTAAATCAGATCTATGACCTGTGCCACTGAAGGTGAGAACAGAGGATGTTTTCAAACTTGTTTGTTAATCAGCCTCATTTGTAAATAATATGTCAAAATCCAAGGGACAGATTTCAGTCAAATTTGGTGTACTGACAAGCCATGGCCAAAGGAAGGACTGATTCATTTTTGGCAAATCTGTGCATCAGAGGCTGCAGGGTGAATGGGCAAACTGACCATAGCAATGAAGTACTGGAACTCCTTCAAATGAGGGGAGTTAACTGGGATATGGTAGCAGTGGGGGAGGGAGGGGGGCAACGTAGTCCAAGAAATAGACACCGTGCTGCATAGCCAACAGCAAGAATCCCAGGATATTGGCTTGTCTGCCCATTGTCAGATTTCAGTGATGCAGTTCTAAGCTGGAAAGATTTCATTGTGGGAGGAACGAGAAACAGTTTTTTTCAAGATAGACAGACATACATACATCTACATAAAAAACGAAAATAGAAACTCATACATACATTTAAGACTAAGAAGTGGGCTCTGTTTACAGGGGTTAAATTAAAAAAGCAGAACCTCAAAAGGTTCTCTATTATTACCTGAACTATGATCAAATTGGTGGAAGGTAAATAGGATTAGAACACTAAATGTTTTGTTCAAACATTGGTTTGGGAGAAATAGGTTTTAGCTCTGGGCAGCTGGCACCAGTCTGGCCAAGGTTGGAATGGTCTTCAGCTGGGACAGCTGTTCTAGTGAGTTTTATAACTAGAGTGGTTTACTAACCAGTGATGGTGAGGGATCAAGTAAGGGAAAATTCGTTAAATTAGAGGTAGAGAACAAGGCAAACAAAATAAGGTTGGATTAAAAGGAGCTGATTGTTTCTTACTGCCATCCTCAGACAAAGGGTTCAAACTTTACAGGGGTCCAGAAGATAAGGCATTCACAGCAAGGTGGATGAATTTATAGCACAAACGGAAGCAAGCAGAAATGATTGAATTACTATTAAAGAGATGTGGCAATAGGTTGACCAAGTTTGGTAACAATCAAGAGTATTCCACATTTAGGAAGAATAAAAAGGGTAGTGCTGATCAGTACATCAGGGAGAATGGATCCTGGATCAGAAATTCAAAATGTAAAATCATCTAAGTCGAGCTAAGAAACAGTAAACAGCAGCAGCAAACATTGGTATGAGTGGTTTACAGCCCACCAAGCATTGTGGTAATGAACAGCGCTCTATAAATCAGGAAATTAAAGTGCATCTAACAAGAGTAATATAATAATCACAGCAAAATGTAGACTGGGTGAACCTAATTGGCACAAATACTATGAAGGATGGATTCTCTGAATGCATTAAGGTAGTTTTTCAGAACACTATTTTGAGGATCCAGCCACAGATTTAGTACTTTAAATCTTTAATGCAGTAAGAAAGTGTTAATCAATACGTTCATTGTAAAAGAACCTTTAGGGAAGAATGAGAGAATTTTACATTAAATTTGCAAGTGGTGGACCTGTAGTTAAATCCAAAAATAGGGTCTTACATTTAAACATAACAAAACAGGAAGGAATGGGGAGAAAATTAGCTGTAAAGAGGTACATAGTTGCTTTCCCTGTTCCTTGCAAGAGACGCTGTGTTATTTCCATCCCATAATTCCAGCAACCTCCAGGGAAAGATATGGCACAATTAAACAGGAATGGGAAAGTTTATTTGAGGGTGGGAGCTGTTCATAGACTGGTCCATGAATTATTTGGACAACTATTCATCAATATCTGAGAATAATTTTCCTCACAGGAGGAACTAATAACTGCACTTTACTTCTGAGCTCTCTATAATAAACAATGCAACTCACCATGATGCAACTTCACCATAATCTACAGAACTGTGAAACTTTGTATTATCTGTAAGCTGTCTATAATTTAGACAAGAGCAGATGGTTACCAAACAATTATCGGAGAGAGCCTGTAAAAATTATAACAATCTAATTCACTGCAAAGGGTTAGGTTGTGGGGTGCGGAATAGCTACAATAGCAGGTTCTAAACACATATTTTATGGTTTTATTTGATTGAAATTTAAGGAGAAATATATGAAATATTAAAAAGGGACATACACCTTTAATCAGGTGGCCACTTAGGTTTACTTTTGTAGAAGAGCTGATGTGAACATTGTCATTGCACCGAGAGCCACACCTCCGTGTTCAAAAGCAAAAGCAGACCATTCAGTACTTGATCTGTTGATCAATTGCTTGTGGTTCAGATGTTTTTTCCTGCTCCTTCTTAAGTACATTTGTTGTATTTATTTTTCGCACCCCAGTATAACTAGCAAGCTCACACGCTGCTAGGTACATGCCAAGTAAGTGACATGTTTTTCACTGAATTCATTTCTTCCTTTCTGCATGGACACATGTGCATTATAAACTTCTATCCCATTCTATTGAAACCTGACATCTCTCTTCCTCAGAGATAGTAGGAACTGCAGATGCTGGAGAATCCGAGACAACAAGGTGCAGGGCTGGGTGAACACAGCAGGCCAAGCAGCATCAGAGGAGCAGGAAGGCTGATGTTTCGGGCCTAGACCCTTCATCAGAAAAGGGGGAGGGGAAGGGGGTTCTGAAATAAATAGGGAGAGAGTGGGAGGCGGATAGAAGATGGAAAGAGGAGAAGATAGGTGGAGAGGAAACAAACAGGTCAAAGAGGCGGGGATGGAGCCAGTAAAGGTGAGTGTAGGTGGGGAGTTAGGGAGGGGATAGGTCAGTCCAGGGAGGACAGACAGGTCAAGGGGGTGGGATGAGGTTAGTCGGTAGGAGATGGGGGTGCGGCTTGAGGTGGGAGGAGGGGATAGGTGGGAGGAAGAACAGGTTGGGGAGGCGGGGACGAGCTGGACTGGTTTTGGGATGCGGTAGGGGAAGGGGAGATTTTGAAGCTTGTGAAATCCACATTGATACCATTGGGCTGCAGGGTTCCCAAGCGGAATTTGAGTTACTGTTCCTGCAACCTTCGGGTGGCATCGTTGTGGCACTGCAGGAGGCCCAGGATGGACATGTCGTCTGAGGAATGGGAGGGCGAGTTGAAATGGTTCGCGACTGGGAGGTGCAGTTGTTTATTGCGAACCGAGCGTAGGTGTTCTGCAAAGCGGTCCCCGAGCCTCCGCTTGGTTTCCCCGATGTAGAGGAAGCCACACCGGGTACAGCGGATGCAGTATACCACATTAGCAGATGTGTAGGTGAACATCTGCTTGATGTGGAAAGTCTTCTTGGGGCCTGGGATGGGGGTGAGGGAGGAGGTATGGGGGCAGGTGTAGCACTTCCTGCGGTTGCAGGGAAAAGTGCCAGGTGTGGTGGGGCTGGAGGGGAGTGTGGAGCGGACAAGGGAGTCACGGAGAGAGTGGTCCCTCCGGAAAGCAGATAAGGGTGGGGAGGGAAAGATGTCTTTGGTGGTGGGGTCGGATTGCAGATGGCGGAAGTGTCGGAGGATGATGCGTTGGATCTGGAGGTTGGTGGGGTGGTACGTGAGGGCGAGGGGGATTCTTTTTTGGCTCTGATTGCGTGGACGGGGTGTGAGGGATGAGTTGCGGGAGATGTGGGAGACACGGTTGATGGCGTTCTCGACCACTGAGGGGGGGGAAGTTACGGTCCTTGAAAAACGAGGACAACTAAGCTTCACAAGCTTCAAAATCTCCCCTCCCCCTACCGCATCCCAAAACCAGTCCAGCTCGTCCCTGCCTCCCTAACCTGTTCTTCCTCCCACCTATCCCCTCCTCCCACCTCAAGCCGCACCGCCATCTGCTACCGACTAACCTCATCCCGCCCCCTTGACCTGTCCGTCCTCCTTGGACTGACCTATCCCCTCCCTAACTCCCCCACCTGCACTCACCTTTACTGGCCCCATCCCCGCCTCTTCGACCTGTTTGTTTCCTCTCCACCTATCCTCTCTTCTATCCATCTTCTATCCGCCTCCCACTCTCTCCATATTTATTTCAGAACCCCCTTCCCCTCCTCCTTTTCTGATGAAGGGTCTAGGCCCGAAACGTCAGCCTTTCTGCTCCTATGATGCTGCTTGGCCTGTTGTGTTCATCTCTTTTCCTCTCCTTGTATGTTGACCTTTACCTTCAAACTAAACCAGGAAGGTACAGAAGAACATGTTGTGTTTCTCCCCCCTTCCCCGTGGCAAAGCAGTCAGCCACCACTTACTGCTTCTACATAGCAGTATGGTTATATTCAACAACTAGCCACATCACAGAACTAACATAGTTCAGATCAGTCTATTGCTGCATGCTATATAAGCTTGTGCACTTAACCCAAAACAAGAATGATTTAAAAATTAAAAGGCGTCAGACTTTGCTGCACTGTTTCAACAGGATACGCCAGGAGCCAGGGAGGAGGGAGTTGTAATCCAAAGTCTTTTCTTGGATTCTTTCCAAACCACTATGGAATAAATGTGGATTAAGTTGTAACGTGTTCCTGCTAATATAATGTTTACATCGGTTTGGACCATACAGCTTCAAGAAAAATCAAGGCAACTATCCAGGGCAGTACTACACTGATAAAGATATTCAATGAGATGAAATATTTAAACCCAGATTCTGCCTGCCCTCTCAGATGGACGTAAAAGATCCTATGTCACTATTTAGAGAAAGAGTAGGGGAGTTCTCCCCGCTGTCCTGACCAGTATTTATCTTTCAAGCAACTTCATAAAAAGACATTACCAGGTTCCCTTGTCAGATTTTTATCTGGGGGAGCATGCTGAGCTTAACTTGGCTCCAGTGCTTCCTACATTACAGTACTGATTACATATCAAAAATTATATCAAGCTTTGTTTTAACCGGCACCTCATCAAGCAGCACGCTTGATAAACTGGCAGAAGTTATACACTTCAAATACCACGACGCACTGCAACGCCGAGTATTTATGCTGCAAGTGAAGTTGAACAGTGATATGTATACCCCCCTGCATTACGTTTCTATTATCAAAACATCAACACACCACCTAAAATCAAAGATTTTTTGAGGGATGTTGATGTCTCTCATTCAGGGTTCACTGCGTTTACGCATACCTCTTGATTATTCGGAGTATTTGGTCAACAGGCATACTCCTGGTCCCATTGGTGCCAGTCAATAAAAGGTTTGCACTTTGTCAGCTGTAAAGCATTTTGAGATATCCACTGGTCAAAGGCACTATATTAAAGCAAGGCTACTTGGCCCCCACAAAGAATTGTGGAGCAGCCTGCAGCCAGTTACTGATTTCAGTCTGGCCTGGTTCTCCAGCAGAAGCTGAGAACCCATCTCTGGTATGTGAACAGTCCTTGGGTCAGAGATGTACCTCTGTAGCACATGGATGTTTAACTCCACCACAGATGCCCCTCCCCTATTTCGTTCCTCAGTCAGATAGCAGAGACCAAATATTCCTGTCATCAGCAAAAACGAGAGACAATCAGAAAAAAAATTACTTTATGTGGGAAATTTATTCTTGTGGCCTTATTACTGCTATCAATAGAGTTGTACAGCACGGAAACAGACCCTTCAATCCAACTAGTCCATGCTGAACATAATCCCAAACTAAACTAGTCCCACTTACCTGCTCCTGGCCCATATGCCTCTAAATCTTTCCTATTCATGTACCTATCCTAATGTCTTTTAAACGTTGTAGTTGTACCCTCATCCACCACTTCCTCAGGAAGTTCATTCCACACGCGAACCGACCTCTGCGTAAAAAATTTGCCTCTCATGACTTTTTAAAATCTCTCTCCTCTTACCTTAAAAATGTGCTCCCTAGTCTCGAAATCCCCCATCCTAGCAAAAGATGACTCCACTATCTCTATCTATAGCCCTCAATATTTTATTAACTTCTATCAGGTTGCCTCTCGACCTCCTACGTTCAGTGAGAAAAGTCCCACAATATCCAGCCTTTCTTTATGACTTAAACCTTCCACACCTGGCAACATCCTGGTAAATCTCTTCTGAGCCCTCTCCAGCTTGATAATATCCTTCATATAACTGGGTGACCAGAATTGGACACAGTATTCCAGAATAGGCCTCACCAATGTCCTGTACAACCTGGCAGGTGCTAGTCTAATATTTGGTTTGGGGGCAGGATTTTCTCAGTGGGCTTTGAAAATCCCATCATCAGGTTCAAATGAGAGTCAACAGCCCATTCTATGAAGGAAACGATAAGCTGGCTGTGAACTTCCCTCAACTGGCCAATTAATGGCCAGACTGCACAGGTTAACTCAATTCTGTTCAACTTGTGAAGCTGGAGGGCCAACAGGAGGCCAATACGTGTGGTCATCAAACAGCTCCTCATACTTACACATCACCATTCATTTAATCACCAGCAAGAGGAGTCATACCAGACTCAAAATGTTAACTTTACTCTCTCTCCGCAAATATTACCAAATGTGCCGAGTTTCTCCAGCATTTTCTGCGTCTGCTTCTTTTAAACATCCCCAATGGACGTCTCTCCTTGGTTGTTGACCATGGTATCCCACAGATTGTTCCGGAGTCTCAAGTTCAAGATCAATCTTGAAACATTGTCAACCTGATGCTAACACTAATGGGAATCAGTATTTTAACCCTGAGGGAGAACACCCTGAGAGTCTACAAGTTTCACAGCATAGAACACAGTCATTCTGTGAAGAAATTCTCTGTTAGCTGAAACTGCAGCTAACTGCTTCTCTTAATTATATCCTGCCCAACTCTCTGAGCAAAAAAGTGTGAGAAGATCTAGAAGTACAAAACAATATATTTTTGAATCAACCAAGTAATTAAGTTAATACCTGATTAATCGTTTTTTCCATCTGCACGAGTCCAAGGTTGGGCAGAGTGCACTTTATAAAGTCAACTATTGATTCCAGACTTTCGTGTTGTAGAATCAGTGGCTTGTGGCTTCCCAGCAAACTTAGGGCTACCTTAAAGATGACCTCTGACCCTTGAAGGAAAATCATATCTACAAAACAAGCATGAAAATGTATTTAATGAAGTCATTAGGAATGCAAACTGCTGCATCATTTTGTGACAACTTGTGACTTGAAACAACTCAGAGTAAAAATAAAGAATTAAAAAGGGTGTTATAAATTTTTTATTCTAAAATAAGGATAATGAACAACAGTTCAGATGAAATAATTTCAACCAACTTATTGCTCATAACTGATAACTTCATACCAGCACCATTGCACTATTTGGCAGAATTTAATTCGTGCTGTGATCTTTTTCTCTTGTTAAACCACTGAATTCCGAAAACAGCCGTATCTTTTCTCTTTCACTGCAGTTAAGTTGTAATTCAAAATAAACAGCGACATTTACCAAAGACTCTGGCCACAAAACCCAAAGGAAACTGAGAGGCAAATACGGTGAGAAACCATGGGGCAGCATAAAGACTGGGACTAATTTCATTCTCTTCAAAGTGGCTGTACAGATCGCGGTGATAGTCATGGAGGAGTCGTGAAAGTTGGTACATCTGTATCTGCAAACCCAAATAAGATAATTTTAATAACGCACATCAAATTAACTCCAAGTAGATTGTAATTGTATATGGAAGGTAGTGAAATTAAAGGCCTTGAAAACCCATTATAGTTCAAGCAGTCTCCTGCTCCTCTTTTGTCACTAGCTGAGCTCTGAGGGAAAAATCTATAAGTAGCAGACCCTTCTGGAGAATGCTGGATCCACAGAATTTCAGAGCCAAATTTCCGTCAGGTACCAACTATAAACCTCAGTGAAGGCCCAATCTGCCCTCTTCCCAATTTAATCAAAGCTGATCATTAGTGCCATCACCAAACCCCTTGTCCCTCCACCACTTACACACTTTGAGGGAACAGTGATTATTCTCAAAGGTTCGTGAAAGTGATATAGCCTTCCAGTTATGTGCCCACTTCTATCTAAATTGTTTGTATCTCTCTCTGATACCCCTAATCAAAGTTATAAATATTATTCCCTACAACTGTTGAACGTTATATATCTTTACCCTGCTTTATCTTTCCCAATTATGAGAATTTGATGATGCAACTAACGTTAGAATGTAAAATGGTCAATTTTAACCAATCTATTAAAATTAAGAAAATAACAGCTATTTTTATCCACAGTCACTTTTAGTCACTTAATAATTAAAACCTTAATTCAGATCAGGATTTAAGAACAAGCATAATGTAACTACTGTACCTGTAGAATAATCATGTCCGGTCGATATTGCTTCCTCAAGCCCATGTCGTACATGAGAAACTTCAGCATATGAAAAGCATCGTCTTCACTCATGTGTAGCAGCAAGATTCCTGCTACAAAACTAAGGCCCTGGCAATAGCCCACCTCCGGATCCAGCAGAGAGTAGGCTTTCAAGAGATTATATAAAGAGAGTTGGCCAGCACCCAATGGAGCAGCAAAATAGGGGTGTGTCGGAAATGTACGACCTGCAAGACAAGACAGTTTAACATGGGAAGGTAGGAATATTTTAAAACCCCACCACCCTGTTGTCACTACACCAAGAAATGACATTCCTTCCCGAAAAAAAAAAGCCATACAACTTTTTTGTTTAATTACACAGCTGGAAAAAGTGAAACAGATTCAATAAAAGCATAATTTACGCAAATATTCCATTGCTGCTTCACTACACAAACTGTTAGACTAACAGAACAATGAATAATTTAGCTAATTGATTCATGTTCAACATTCGTCATATATAAAATGGACCATGGCAGATGAGGCAGACCCTAAAATTTAGTGAAAATGCTCACTTATTTCCATCAGGAACTTAGGATTGAATTTCTGAAAACATTAGGGAGGCAACTTAGACAAATGTAGACTCACTCTTAGGTAAAAAGTATTTAAGGAACAATTGTCCTCTCAAAGCATATTAGCAATTGGTACTTCCATTACAATAGCACTGTTGTCAATCTGTAATAGATAATATCTATGACAGGCCAGCTCAAATAAATGGCCTTTACAGCTGTCCCCAAAGTAAAGTCTGTGCTACTGTCTAAAATATAGTCCATTACGATGCTCCCAAAAGTATAAGCCCATTTAATAGCATCCAAACAGGGGTGGCACTATTGCTCAAAGGGGTAGCATGGTAGTTCTGTGGTTAGCACTGCTCCTTCACAGTGCCAGGGATCTGGGTTCGATTCCATAGGTCTGTGTGCTTATACATTCTCCCCACGTCTGTATGGGTTTCATCCGGGTGCTCCGGTTTCCTCCCACAGTCCAAAGATGCGCAGGTTAGGTAGATTGGCCATGCTAAATTGTCATAGTGTCCAGGGACATGCAGGCTAGGTGGATGAGCCATGGGGAATGCAGGGTATGAGAGATAGGGTAGGAAATGAGTCTGACTGGGATGCTCTTTGGTTGGTTCGTGTAGACCCGATGGGCCGAATGACCTGTTTCCACACTAGGGATTCAATGAAACCACAAGAAATGCCTTGCTTAGCACAGGTCATCTGTTTTGCTCCTTTTCTTAAGGCCTGTTTTATGTTGAGGCAGTTCAGCAATTCAGTGCACTTGCATCATAACCCAAATATGGAAACATGGTGCTACCTGCCACATATCTAGCACTTATGTTGTTATTAGTAAGCCATGTATCGTTTTACACTTCAACAGACCGGTGATGTGGGTCGGGTATATAGGAGCAGTATTAACAAATCAAACACTTACGTTTTATCCCCCTTTCTTAACCTCACAAAGTGGAATGTAAATAATGCAAGACAACAAGGTGCAGGGCTGGATGAACACAGCAGGCCAAGCAGCATCATAGGAGCAGAGAGGCTGACGTTTCGGGCCTAGACCCTCAGAAAATAATGCATCAGGGTCGACCACCTAGCCTTATGCTGATAAGCTGTGAAGCCAGCACTTGTACCAGCCTGGGACTATAGAAGCAATCTCTAACAGGCAGAAAGTCTGGAACTTAGTGGTAGTGCAAAAGCACAGAGCAGAAAACAAAGGGGTAATGTCAGTCTGGTTTTGCTCCCCAGCCAATTTCTCAGACATTCAGTTTATACTGTAAACAAGGTCTCATTTTGGATTCACACCTTAGTTGGCAACACAAGAAAATATGTGAATACAAAAGTTAATAATATGCCCAAATGCTTAAAGGAAGATCCTAGTGAGACAGAAAGGGAGGTTGGGGACCAGGTCATTTCTATAAATAATTTCTTAAAAAGGAACACCAAACAGAATTACACGCCCTTCATTTGTTTATTCCCAACATGGAAATCATTTACATTGCAGATGGAAGTAAGAAACTTGATTTGAAGTGACGTTCGACAACAAAAAAACAAAAATTTCATAATTCCATCTCAGAAGATCAATCTGTAGTGATTCAACTGGAGACAAAAGAAATGCGTACAATCAAAGTAGTCGATGATTACTTTGTAAGAATGAACTAAAGAGTAGATACTGTTAGTTGATGAGAGGGGGGTTAGGTCAACATTGGAATGAAAGAGAAAGAAATTAGAATAAATAACAGGATCCTTGTGAACTTGAGGTAATGGAGAAACTCAACAGATGAAACATTAGCCAAGATTCAGTAGCTGAAAAGTGATTAGATGACGATAAGCATAGCTTTTCCTCCAAGATTATTGCATTATTTTTACCCTTCAGAACCTACAATATTGTATTACTTTAGCTAAAATTAAAATATATTGCATATGTAGATCACTTTACACAATCACAGGACATATCAAAGCTAATTAAGTACTTTGGAGCCTAGTTACCACTGAAATGTAGGACTAGCTGAGTGACAATTTCCCCCATCGTCTACACAAGTCTGTTGAATCCGGTTTGCAGTCACCCACCCACCCACCCATCCATACATTTTCCTCTCCCCTCCCTTGTCAGCCTTCTGCAGGGACCATTTCCCCTGGTACACCCTGGTCTACTCTTCCTCCACTCCCAACACCCACCCATCACAGCATCAAAGCACGATTACCTGCAACCGGAGGAGGTGTAATCCCTGCCCCTTTACATCCTTCTTCCTCAATATCCAAGGCCCCAAACACACCTCCCAGGTTTACCAGCACCTCCCATAATCTAGTCTACTGCATTTGCTGCTCACAATTGATCTCCTCTACATTGGGGAAACAAAGCATAGACTAGGTGACTGCTTTGCAGAACATCTACATTCAGTACACAAAAAAGACCCTGAGCTTCCAGTTCCCTGCCACGTCAAGACTTCCTGTTCCCTGGCCAACATCTCGGTCTCAGGCTTGCTGTAGTGCTCCAAAGCTCAGCGCAAGCTGGAAGAACAGCATCTCATTTTCGGCTTGGGGACCCCACAGCTTTGCGGACTCAATATTGAGTTCAATAACTTTAGGACTTGACTTCTCCCATGTCCTTATCCATATCCCCACACATCAGAGACAACAAGGTGCAGAGCTGGATGAACACAGCAGGCCAAGCAGCATCATAGGAGCAGAAAGGCTGACGTTTCGGGCCTAGACCCTTCTTCAGAAATGGGGGAGGGGAGGGGAGGGGAAGGGGGTTCTGAAATAAATAGGGAGAGAGAGGGGGAGGCGGATAGAAGATGGATAGAGAAGAAGATAGGTGGAAAGGAGACAGACAGGTCAAAGAGGCCGGGATGGAGCCAGTAAAGGTGAGTGGAGGTGGGGAGGTAGGGAGGAGATAGGTCAGTCCAGGGAGGACGGACAGGTCAAGGGGGTGGGATGAGGTTAGTAGGTAGGAGATGGGGGTGGGGCTTGAGGTGGGAGGAGGGGATAGGTGGGAGGAAGAAAAGGTTAGGGAGGCAGGGACGAGCTGGGCCGGTTTTGAGATTTTGAAGCTTGTGAAATCCACATTGATACCATTGGGCTGCAGGGTTCCCAAGCGGAATATGAGTTGCTGTTCCTGCAACCTTCGGGTAGCATCTTTGCAGGAGGCTCAGGATGGACATGTCGTCTGAGGAATGGGAGGGGGGAGTTGAACTGGTCATGTTTGGACATTGAGCAGTTTTTCCACCGCCTCCACCTCCGCGCTTACTACTTCAACCATGAGCCTAACCCTCCCTCTACTGACCCCTTCTCCCGCCTCCAACACACCCCCTCCTCCTGGAGACCACCCCAAGGCCTCCTACCCTCCCTCGACCTCTTCATCTCTAACTACCGTTGTGACATCAATCGCCTCAACCTCTCCACCCTTCTCACCCACTCCAACCTCTCCCCCGCAGAATGTGCAGCCCTCCGCTCCCTCTGCTCCAATCCCAACCTCACCATAAAACCCGCGGACAAGGGAGGCGCAGTTGTAGAATGGCGCACTGACCTCTACATTGCCGAGGCCAGATGCCAACTCTCCAACACCTCCTCCTACCGCCCCCTTGATCATGACCCCACCCCCAACCACCAAACCATCATCTCCCAAACCATCCACAACCTCATCACCTCAGGTGACCTCCCACCCACAGCCTCCAACCTCATCGTTCCCCAACCCTGTACCGCCCGCTTCTATCTCCTTCCCAAAATCCTCAAACCTGACTGCTCTGGTTAACCCATTGTCTCCGCCTGCTCCTGCCCCACCGAACCTATCTCCACCTATCTGGACTCCATTTTCTCCCCCTTGGTCCAGGAACTCCCTACCTACGTCCGTGACACCACCCACGCCCTCCACCTCCTCCAAAACTTCCAATTCTCCGGTCCCCAACACCTCATCTTTACCATGGACGTCCAGTCCCTATACACTTGCATTCCCCATTCAGATGGCCTAAAGGCCCTCCGCTTCTTGATGTCCCGCAGGCCCGACCAGTCCCCCTCCACTGACACCCTCATCCGCTTAGCCGAACTCGTCCTCATCCTCAACAACTTCTCTTTCAATTCCTCCCACTTCCTACAGACAAAGGGGGTGGCCATGGGTACCCGCATGGGCCCAAGCTATGCCTTTCTCTTTGTAGGTTACGTGGAACAATCTCTCTTCCATAGCTACACTGGCCCTAAACCCCACCTCTTCCTCCGCTACATTGATGACTGTATCGGCGCCGCCTCGTGCTCCCACAAGGAGCTCGAACAGTTCATCCACTTCACCAGCACCTTCCACCCCAACCTTAAGTTCACCTGGACCATCTCTAATACCTCTTTCTCCTTCCTGGACCTCTCTGTCTCCATCTACAGCAACCACCTAGAAACCGATATCCATTTCAAGCCCACCGACTCCCACAGCTACCTAGAATACACCTTCTCCCACCCACCTTCCTGCAAAAACGCCATCCCCTATTCCCAATTCCTTCGCCTCCGCTGCATCTGCTCCCAGGATGAGGCATTCCACTCCTGTACATCTCAGATGTCCTCGTTTTTCAAGGACCGCAACATCCCCCCACTCAGTGGTTGAGAACGCCCTCGACCGTGTCTCCCGCATTTCCCACAACTCATCCCTCACACCGCCTTTCCGCAATAACAACCAAAACAGAATCCCCCTCGTCCTCACGTACCACCCC